TACACAGGTAACATCCTCCTGGGTAATTACACAGGTAACATCCTTCTAGGTAATTACATAGGTAATGTTCAGGTAAAACCTGAGGATTACCGCAGTAATATACTTGAGTAGTCACCTTGGGTCAACTAAAGTCACCTGTGTGTGTGCTCTGTGTGTTTACAGGTGAGAAACCCTTCAGGTGTTCTGAGTGCCCATATGCTTCCATTGATCGCAGCTCTCTGCTGAGACACAGCAGGACTCACAGCCAGGAGAAACCGTACAATTGTCAGCTCTGTAGCTACAGCAGGTAACTTGTAGTTAATACCTGTCTCTGGAGACAGTGGCCATGGCCTCAGTGTCTGTAATGACTACAGCAGTGGGTGTTGATTATATCCCTGGGTTACCATGGTAACTTAATTTTTTTCTCTGTTGTCAGTATCCAAAAGAAGAGTCTGGACCTTCACGCACGACGTCATCACACAGGTGAGGTGTTTCCATGCCAGCAGTGCGAGTACTCCAGTCCAGACCGCCAACTGCTGCTGAAACACATTCGAAGACGCCATACCCCCTCCCAGCTCTGATTGGACTGTGAAGCTGCTATTGATGTCACTTAGTGTGCTGGTCACATGTTTACATGACAATAAAAATATTATTACTAATAATTTGATGAAAGTTTTTGTCATACCTGAATTCCATCAGACATCCAATACACCTGTAACACATCCGACGACCGTAACACCTGGGAAGACTTGGACGGGCCTCACTGACTTCATCAGATTGCATTGAGTCATTAGCTTGCAGAATTTAATCTTCCCAGGTGTAGCTACAGCAGCCCTGGGATAGACTGACTGAAATGATGCTGCCCTACATCGGCGCCATGGAGCTTCTGACCACAGCAGCAGATTAAGTGGCTGAAGTGTTTTCGACAAGGTAACCACTATGGAGACAGACGGATTGGGGGAACAAAAAAGCAATGCACCAGTTAGCTCCTGAGTCCCCATCACCCAGTATAACAAAAGACAGAATGCTTATCATGAGAAAAATACAAGTTGAAGGCTTGGATGAAATAATAGTTTTGGTAACTCTGAAAGTTCAACTGGATCAAAGCAGTCTAAACCCGGTTCAGATTCTATGGCTACCTCAGATGCTGCCCTACCCTCCAGAGATAAACCAATCGCGGATAGAGGTGTGCTAATGATCTTATTTTTAATAACATCTATCTTATTTATAAAGAATCCCATAAAATCATTACTGCTAAGAGTAGACAGAATGGACAGTTCAACAGAGCTATGGCTCTGGGTCAGTTTGCAAACTGGATTAAGAGGCTAAAACTCCCCTAGTTTTCATAAAATTATTGGTCAAATATTCTTTGTCAAACTTTATAAATGTAGTCAATAAAGTGAATTAAATGTGCGTCAAAGTGCTTTTATTTCATGAGCATGTTGCTCATTAATGAGCTGTTGAGCCGCTCTTGGACAGGATCTCCCTTCCAGTCTGGAGCTGCAGGAGGCTGCCTGTCATCCCTGCTGAGGTCTGGGCCTCGGTCTGTTGAAGGAAGCAATGAAAAAGTAGAGCCCTGACTGATTAACAAGCAAAAATCTGTCACTTCCAGTGAGGCAGCTGGGGCGGGTCATGAGGCTGGCTGCTCGATGCTGATTGGCCAACATACTGAAGGATTTCTGACTGACAGTGGCCAGGCAGCAAGGAGGTTTTTCTTCTGTACCGAGAAGGAACAGTGATCCTTCAGAAAAGTCATCTGGTGAGGAACTGTTGCCATGGTTTCTGGAGTTTATTATTTCAGAGGTATTTTCACCCGATGTGCTGATGAGCTTTATGTGTTTCAGCCAGTGTTGGGCACGTTACTTTGAAAAAGTAATTAGTTATAGTTACTAGTTACTTCTCCCAAAAAGTAACTGAGTTACTGACTGAGTTACTCAACAATAAAAGTAACTACTTACTAATAAAAGTAACTAC